AGCTTCTGTATAGCGTAAAAATGAGGGAAGAGTGTAAAGTGTAGTTAAGGGTGAGAAGCTGGCAGTGCTAATATGTGTGAATTGAATAAAGCAGATGGAGCGTATGTGTAAGTGATATGTTGTAGAAGCTACGCTTTACCTCATTAGTTTTGAAAGCGTGACACTTTTACAATTTTCTTCGGCCATTTGTGAAGAATAATTTAATTCAGAAAGGCACTCGCTGTATGGTGGAAAATACAATTTCGTTCTGTAAAGCTGTAATGCCAAAACAACAATTTGTTCAGAACAGGCCATAACACATAAGCTGCGGCAAAAGCTATGGAACCGGCACAATAACGCGTTTCTGCGATCATTTGTTTAGTCCGCACAGTTGATGAGCACTGTGACATACAATTAATGACTGTACTGTGCTAGGATGGTCTTTCGGTCAAACGGATGCATGAAAATCCGAGAATTCTCGGGTTTACGATTTGTTTTTAGGTTCATGAAACCACAAAACAGCCCTAAATAGCACCATGCAGACTTTGAGATAAGGCTTATCCCGATTTCATTATAATGCATTTTTGACATACGATTTTTTTCCCCATAAAAATGGACCGAATAACACTAACAAATAGACCGTAAAGCTCTGTGTGACAGTATATACGAGATCTGTAAGCGATTGAGAAAGAGCGACTAGTATCCCCCAGGATGCATATCGCTTTTGCGTCTATAGTCGCCGTTGGCATAAATAGTACCATCGTCATCAATGACAATTCCCTGAGCAATGCCTTCGAAGCCGGTGGTATGTTTAAATTTTTGTCCAAAAATCCCTGTTAAATCATCCATTAGTTCCTGGAAATAATATATCGGTGCCGTAGAGCTTTTCCAACAAATGGAGAGTCCTAATTTTGGCAACTTTCAAGCAGAATTGCATTCCTTGGTTGCATCCAGAAATGTTTTCTTACACAGGGCGCTTACAGTCATTCCTTATCTACCACTTTATTTTTAAATCTAGTTTTTTTGGTCTTGCACACGTCGGAGATTATGCTTCCTGCAGAACTGAAATGTTTTGTAGAATATGCACATTCAACATATAATGGCGACGAAACACGTTTTGGTCTTTTGCAAAAGCGAAAAAAAAAACGATAATAACGTAAAAAAACCTGGGGCACGGTATCCTCGAACTGAGTGACATCCGGTGTGAATTGATTGTGTAGCGTTGGAGCATCGATAGCTTCCTTGATGCTTTCATTGAAAAACAGTACTCGAACAACTGGTTTAGCAAGTGCTGAGATTATTTTTGATCCACCAGATGCACCCGCAACCATTACTAACTGCAATTTTTCATCATAAACTCTGATAACAATAATAAAAATCATTCTACTGGCAGTGCGTACTAGTATGCTGACCTACTGACGACTTTTTAAATGACGGTTTTGCGGCTGCACGGAAGACGAGCAATTAGTGTGTGTGTGTGTGTGTGTGTGTGTGTGTGTGTGTGTGTGTGTGTGTCATAACGATATATGATCATCAGTGTTACGAGAT